AACACCAGCCTCGGATGCTTTTTGCCTTCAGCGGTGCCAGCTTGAGGTCCCCTTGTGAGGGATTCCTGCCTTCTCTTGCCCTCTACAGGGTAATGGCCAGGTGCCGAAGAAGCTCCTCCAGCCTGAACCTCCACCAGTTCTCTACCAAATTCCTGAAGATGGATATGGAGGAAGTGTTAGGAACAAGACGGCACCAGCAGCCTCTGTACATGCACCGCCAAGAAGGAGCGTGCACGGAACTGCCACCGCACTGAGTCCCCGCCTGCCTATGGACGCCTCTCGAGAGAGGGTTAAGCGCCTTTGGGCGCCGGCTTTACCTGTCACAGCCGCACGCTGCTTGCTTTGCTTGCTTTGCTTACAGCGTCTCTGCGCTAGCGGCATCGCTCTGAGCAGCCGCCAGGAGCGGCTGTGCTGCCCATAGACCTGGCACCGCCTGGCTGCGGATTCCGCATCTGCCTGTTCGAGTGCCCTGGTTCCAGCACCTGAAACACAGCAGCCCACCTTGCAGTAACAAGCATCAACAGGGAATTATCCCCCTAGGTGGGATTCTGGGGAGAGACAGACAGAAACACAGAGAACTCTCTAGTCAATCCATTTACATTTTGATCATTACAATCGCAGATCTAATCTAAAAACGGCAGTGAAAAACATACAAAAAAGTCAGAGAAATATCTGCAGTAGCTTTGGGCCCAGTTCACCTGGCTTACAGAACTCAGGATTTGCACACCAAATTACGTGTCAGTAATCTTATGAATAGGGCAGATAAATGTTATGCATTTAACCAACAATATATGTGAAATCCGCGTTTCCAAAAAAATTAATTAAAATCATGCTTTTAAAATCATGTGTTTGGGAAAGCTCTACCTATACAGCTGTTGTTGAACTTCACATAGCTATATATAGAGCTACTAGATAGATTCTTTGCTTAGCAGTTATAAATGGGAGCAAATGAACTTACCTTCCTGCACATTATTACTACAAAACAAATTATGTAACACATTTTAACATAGCTTGCTTTGAGATTCCTTTCCACTGTAGGAAGAGCTGCTACTCCACCAAGAAAACTTATTTCAAGTATTAAAAAAAAAAACTATTAAAGAGCTACAGAGAGAGAGAAAAGAAAAACAAAAACAAACAAACAAACAAAAACTGGAGCCATATATACACAAAATGGAGGGGGAAAAAGGCCTAGAGCTTTTTTTAAAAAAATTCCTTTTACTCTTAAAATGAATTTTGGTCAAGTAGAACAAAAGGAATCTTGTATTGAACTGAATGCAAAATACTTCCTATTCTACCTCAAGATTTAGTCTCTTTAGAAGACTTCATTGCATCTGGCAAGATGCAGGCTAAGAATTATGATTATTGAATGTTTGTGCAAAGAAAAGTGAAAAAAGGAAAGATTCTAAAGATCAGTTAATGATAAGAAGAAAGTGTCCAAAAGCTGCATGTTTATCATTAGAAGTATCCTTAAAGGCAGAGAAAAACTAAATCATGTTTCTAAAATACTTATATTGCAGGAGGAGATAGTGTAAGGAACATGGTAATACAGACAAATACAGTGAAATACAGCAAAGAATGCACACAGCCACTAAATACTATTAAGGACTATTAAATATACTTGTAGGCTCTTTCCTCTCCTCTTCCTCTTCCTGTTGAAGCAAGAGTACAGGGAAGAAAGCAGACAGTAAAAACTCATTTCCCTGGAAAACACTTTGCCTGTTTTCCAAAGCTGATCATACCATGCTGCCAGGGCAGGTAAAACAGGAGTAAGAGAAAAAGAGGCTTTTAAACAACGCTCAGGGAAGTCTTCGCATTCATGCAAACAATATATAAAAGAGCAGAAGGAGTAAGAGAAACTAGTGGCAGGAATATAGGCCAAGACATAGAAGATTATTTTCGCAGCCAAGTTGCAAAATAGTTCACTCAGATTTGCAGAATTTCTAGTTTTGCACACACTCTTTTCCATGCCCAAACCAGATTACAGACCTGGAACAAAAATCATGGAGCCCACCCTGGTACCTACACAGCCAAAGCCGACTTGGTTTTACATGAACTTCTCCCAGATGTAATGGATTGCGCCCCCTCCCAGCATTTGATCAAGATGAGTTTGTATGGGTGTGTGTCTTTATCTCCAATTTAGTGCTCATAAGTTGAGCTATGAAGATATTTTCTAGCTGCTTGTTTTGCTTCATCGTGAATGTCTGCAAGTAAAATTGCATACAAATTCCCACATGCATCCCTGGCCCCTCATCATACATCCTTATGTCAAGAAAAAAAAAAAAAAAAGTGATAAAGCTCTTTTTGTGAGAGTTGTATTTTTTTTGAATGGTTCACCAGTGAGATTTATTTTTTTTAAGTTAGAATTTTCTTTGTATTTTCTAAATCTTGAACCATTCCATAGTATATCTTTATTGCAAAAGGTCAACATGCATCTTAGAAATTCAGATCGTAATCAATAAAACAAACATTACATATATGAATTTAAATGTATAAACAGTTAGAAATCCAACAATATCTCCTATTATACTATTACACAAGTTCACAATTTTGTAAAAACTATAGTACAGTTTACTATACACCAAGAGGAACTTTATTCCTTTTCACATGATTTTGTTAAAAAAAGAAAAAAAGTTGTTATGTTTTCAGCAGTAGCAGGCAAGCATATTCAGATTTATCTTCTCAACTCTTGTGGTGGGTTTTTTTTTTTTTTTTGGCTTAGTTTAATTCAACAATGAAAAGAAGATGAAGGATTATTCTTCACCACAATTACTTCCCCTTTTTATCATATACTCTTTCAATGTTCATAAGTTCATAACTACATTTAGACTGGTAACATCTTATTTTACATATCCTGTAAATAACACTAGCTTGTGTATGTAAGTTACATTGGCGATTATAAGGTTTAATTAATTCTGAAAGTACATATGAATTTCACAATAAAATTTTACCATTAGAAATAAAATAAGCTGTACTGTCATGTTAGCTATTAAAAATAAACAGTTTAATACAGCCTAGTACACCCTAAAATACAAGGGGATCTATAAGCTTTGGCAAACTGAAGGTCACTTTCAAGCAGCTTTCCTACTCCTAACGCAGCAGAGATGAGTTACTACTATCCTGCCCACCACTTAAATTCCCAATAATATAACAAAATGCTTTCAATACACAAGCTAAGTTCAGGGGCAAAGCTCATTTTTGTGCTTCAGTGTTTAGAAATCATGTTTGGGATGTCACTTGAGGATTCACGTAAGCCTGCCACTGTGCACTGTAAAGGAGAGAAAAAAAAAAAAACACATATGAAGCTCTCCAAAATCCATTAAATAAAGCTACTGCACATGCTTCCCTCTGATCTCGTCCAACTGGAAAAGCCAACATGTGTGAGGAAGGGCAAACATGTCCCTGAGGACAGTGTGCCAACCAAGTAACATTTTGGAGCTAAAACCATATGAAAAGGAATCCCAGTCTAAGTGTGTCAAAGACTACTGCAATTTTTCCTTACAGTTTCATTCATTCACTGTAATCTTCAGTTTCCAAATACAAAAATACAACAATTCTGATTGAAATCTATACGCTGGTAGTTTTAGTACACAAAAAGGAAATTATTTACAAAATTATACAGTTTAAGAAAAGCCTCTGTACAAAAAAATATATAAATCCTTTGTTCCCTCCTTTTTTTTTTTTTAAACTGTCAGGACTCAAATGTTTGCTGCAATAGATTTTTCAAAATTTACACTCACTGAGCCACAGACATTAAAAAAAACACTAAAGATGGTAGGAGAAAAGCAAGACATTCAAAGTATACGGGGGATTTTTTTTTTCTCACTTCTTATGTAATTTAGCAAGAAAGTTATAATTGTGTAGAGAAGTGTCATTTTCATGTGAAGTAAAAGAATACTGAAAGACATATTCCTTCTACCAACAAGGAAATGCAAAACTACATTGTTTGGGCTTTTTATTATCCAGGTACTGTGGTGGGGAATAACATTTGCGGAACTGTTAACCCAAAGAACTGCTCAGCTTCCTCCCTGGCTAAGTTCAGAGCTATTCTACCTCAAAGGTCTTGATACATATTTACATTCAGCCAGGAACTACCTGGGAAATACCTGATAAACTAATTATTCAAAAGAGAGGAGCATTTTTGCACCGTCATTCAGTGTATTTTGTACAGAGACATACATAAAAGTGTACTGAAAGTGTACGGTACAAATGCAGAGAGCCAAAGAAATGCTTGCTGTGGAATACGTCTGTTCAGGAGCTGTAAGAAGCCACATAATAGTTAAGATACATGGCTCAAGCATCCAAATTTGTTTTCCGAATTTCTATCACATTTGGGGGGGGAGGGTGTGTATGTGTGTGTGTGTGTGTATACACACACAATTGTGTGTTAAAGTGATACCAGGATAAGGCAACTGAGAATATAATGGTGTTCACTTCAAATATGTCTAAACAAGATTACACTTAAGTGAATAATCCTTGAAAAAATAAATTTGAAAACTGCTCTGAAGACAGCACTTAAAGTGCTGGTTTGATGCAAGTCTTTGAGCAGGTCACTGACATTCTGCTGGCTAAAAAAATAACTTTCTCTGAACACTTCACAGATTTAACTTGAACATAAATAAAGGTATTAAAAATTTAGTTAAAGGGAGAGCAGGAAGAGGTGGTCGTGTGCATGTATGTGCGCGCATATGTGTGCACAGGTGCTAGCTCAATTCTTTTTGAGAAAGCATGAAACATTATATTTGTATTCACTAATCTTGAAATGCAGTAAGTGAACAGTCTAGCTCTAATTTTAAACCTCGCACTGCAACAACAGAAAAATCAAGAGCAAGTGAAAGTTTACTTGGATCTGTTCCTTGTTTTTTTTTTTTTTTTTGCGAAGCAGGATTCGAAGAGCGTGAACTACAGCTGGACAATATTATAATAAGACCCAGTTAAATTAGTCGTTTCAATTCCTTTTGCAAAAAGTAGTAGAACATAGAAATTGCGTGGTCTCCTGCAAAATAAATGATTTGTGAACTTAGCCACAAGTACTTTCTACAGTAAGTCATTACAGAAGAAATAAAATGCTACGGTATTTCAATTAGTAAAAGAGGCATTTTTTTTCTTTTATAACATTTAATGGAGATTTGTGTGTTTTTCCCCCAACCCTATAATATTGCTAAATAAAATCTGTAACATCTTTTCAATTATAAACTAACAAAATAATCACATTATAAAAAACCCAAAACAAGGTAATACAGGCGACACAAAAAGAGGACAAGAAAATACTATTTTTGTTTTCTCTTTCTCTTTTTATCCTTCTTAAATAGGAAAATCATCACCCCCAGTAAACTTGATAATTCTGTAAAAGTTTCTGGGCCTTTGGCTATCTTAGTATCACAGCTCCATATCCGAAATGTTTTTTTTTTTTTAAACAATCTTTGCTTGCTTTAAATCTGTGGTTTGAAAAGAAAGTAAAGCTTTTTTGGCTTATCAACTTTCTTAAATAAATGTTTAAAAGATGTAGCTTGAACTATACTCTTAAAATTATACATTTCCAACATGAACTTTCATCTCCTCCAAGAACGGGATTCATCTTCATCTTCGTCGTCATCATCATCATCTTCGTGCAAAAATAAATCTGAGGTTTCAGTTTCCTAGATGAAGGAGAAACATGGTTTTATTCCTCTCTGTATGCCAGGAAACCTGTCATGCAACAGAGCCCCAGTTGTGCTTCACAGTAAGTTAATGTTTTCAGTAAGTCCCACTGAAAGGCACAAAATTACATTCTGCAAGTTTTTAAGTAATGAATAGTACTCTCATGCATCAAGAGTGGGAATGAAAGTCAAACTTCAAAGGAAGCAAAAAATGAAGAACCACTAAACTTCTCTGAAACAGCTTTCCATTAGAAAGTACTTCTCTTGGTCTTAAATCATTCTCATATTAAAGAGAATACTTATCTTACATCACAGCATCAATATTGGAGCAGCAAAATAAAAAGCTTAGTAGCCTGCACATAGGGATTGTGAAGTTTATTTTCTAACAGTTTACCAAACTAAGTTTTTAGGAGTGGGACATTTTTCCTCTGTGTGTTTTTTTTTTTTTATATGAAAAATACACCTGTCCATTCAAAAAGTTTCTAGTTTGTAGAAAAATATTTGTCCAAAACTTATTCAATAAACAGAAAAAAATGTATCCCCCCAAAAGCTCTTAGCTACTGTATGTTTTCATACCTCTTCTTTAGACTCCTCTTCCTCAATTTCTGTGGACACAGAGGGTACCTTAGGTTTGTACCATGATATCTGCAGCCTTCGGTCTTTGAAGCGGGATCCTTGGTTAGCAGCCTAGATTGTATTTTAAATGAACATATTTTCAAAAGAGTACCAAGTATCTTTAAGACCACAAAAAAATGATCTAGACTCAGTGAATATCACTCACTGCAGTTATGCATATTTGCTTATCTCAAACTTGTATCAGGACCATCCAACTTCAATCATCACAAGAGCAATTTCACACAAACCTGAATCTACTATATAGCTCTTAACCAGCATTATGAAAAAAAAAAAAGCAGATCATTAATTGATCATCATATAGATCACTAGTCAAACAGGAAATATTTTCTTTCTTTAGTTATACATAATAACAACAAATACCCATATTATCTAGTTCAAACTGTTTAGCTCAAAGTCTGCTAAATTTGAAAAGATAGCCAGTCACAAACAACTACAGTATTCCTATTTTAGGACAAAGTCATTATTCTACTTACATTCTCAGCTTCTGAGCGGGATTTAAAAGTTAGAACAACGCTTAGAGGGGAATCTTCTTCTTGAAGGTCTTCAATATCTCCAAATTTCTGAAGAAAGAAAAAAATCATTAGGACTAGCTATAAAATGCTCCTCTGGAAACATGCCTATCATGTTCTACAATGGCAGCATAGTGTATCACGGCCCCATTGAATTTTTTTTTTTTTCCATATAGAGAAGAGAATCAAAGTTGTCTCAGCAGCAGTATCTAGCAATACTGCAATATTTGCCCCTGCTTATTTGAATTAAAAAAAAGAAAAAAGAAAAAAGTAAACTTTGCCCTAATTGTGTGAAGAACTGGGAAGTTCTGTTTTTCCACTTAAAATGAAACTAAGCAAGTTTTCAAATTCCTTAAACAGCCTTTTTGTAACCAGATTTAACCCAAAATATTCTACAAAACTAGCTTTGTCAACTCAGTCACTTGCTTTGCAAAGATCATCCAGAAACACCACAAATTAATTTGATCAGGGTTAGATTTCATGCTGCATTTATTTACAAGGAATTTTATAATCTCCTTGAAAAGCTAACTAGCTTTGCAAATGAAAATACTTCATCAGAAAGGGTAACTGAGGGAAATCTAAAATCATGTTTTGCTTTATTAACTCAGTTATGATGCTAATACATCTATTAACACAGCCTGCACACTAGCAAGCTATTGGAATGCTGTAACATCAGTTTATAAACAAATGTAACATCTTTGAAAGCAGCTGTGCTGTTTTTCAAAGCTGTGCTTCGCCTCTTGACCTCAAGAGAAATCAAATAAATAGCTATGAAATCCTACTAGGAATAATAATTTGTAAACAGAGAAAGGCTGATTGCTTTTTTAAAATACATAGCACGCATTAAAACCTTTGGGCAGCTACTGCAAAACAGCTATAAAGGTTTTAATGCGTGCTATGTGTTTTAAAAAAGCATTGGGCAGCTACTGCAAAACAGCTATAAAATACATATGTTGACAACTTTGATAGCTCTTAAAACTGTCTGCTTATCCATAGCTTGTTTCATGAATGCAGGGTAAGATCACCAGACTGTTTAGCACTAACATATAAAGACTTGTAACCTCAATATTTTAGAAAGGAAAAAATTTATTTATGAAGTTATTATTACGTCTCTCTGCAAGAAAGTGCACACATTCACAATATCAGATACTTAATCGGTAACACAGCTGAAATTTTCTTTTTAATAAGATCTCAAACTTACAGAGAAGTGCTGTAACAATTCATCTTTCTCCTCTTCAACAAAGCCTCCAACTGTTAGTGCTTTGGGACGATGATCGACCACCATGTGATTCAACATCCCTCTTCCCCTCCCACCACGAGCCCATCCTCGTCCTCTTCCTTGAACAGGCGTTGCCTTTCCTCGACCAACAGGCAAGATGCCTAAACGTGCAGCCTGTTTAAAAGAAGTCAAATTACTTATCAATTGTCTCAGCAAAAACATAGCATAAATATAAAAACATCAATCCAAACAAATTCACCTCTACTTGTAACTGGTTTAGTTTTTTTCGCAATTCAGTTGTGTCTTCTCCAGAAGAGAGTCTCTTATGAAAGTCCAGTTCTGCATCTAAAAGTTCCTTTTGTGCCTTGAAGAAAAAGATGTACAAATAGAAAACACAGGGGGAAAAGCGGAACATTAATGTATGCTTTTAACATATTCCAATTCTTCAGCAGTAAACTTGTGCAAATTACATAGTTAGATCACAATAACATACTCATACTTTTCTCTAAATTCAATTGATCATGTTTCTATGTATTTAATTAAAAATCCTTCCCTGCCAAAAACCAAAATACAGTTCTAATTTGAAGTACCCAGATTTCCCTGTTTTAGAATCGGGACACGAACTTGAATGACCTATATGAAAAGTTACGTCACTTGAGTTGCTTAAATTTTTGCTTGCTTATCCATAGTTATCACACTGGATCACATTACTAGGATGTAACATTAGAAATAGGCATAACCAGATAGGTTAGTATCTTGCACAATAAATACCTCTGTCTTGGACTTTAATTTTGATGGGGTAGAGGATGTAGATGAAGTTTTTAATTCATCCTTTAATTGAGATATTTTTCCTGCTAGTTCTTTTAAGGTCTTCATTATTTCTGCTCTCTCTTCTGGTTTCATGGCCTTATTCTTCTCCAGCTTGGATATCAACATCTGGGTATTAGAAAAAGAGCAGGAACATAAAATTATAGCAAAAACATCACTGAACCGACAGATACCTATGAAAAAATAGGATGTACATACTAGAACATATTCTAGGCCTACCTTCTGGCATTCTATTTGTTTTTCTAACATCTCCTGCTTCTTTTTCCTCATGTCCTGTTGGAGTTTCATTGCCTCCTATATGAGAAGGAAATTAATTCAAGCACAAAACAATTTCATAATTAAAAACTACACTTTTGAATATATTATACTCCACTAAGATTTAAAACAACATCAGTTTTCATCATGCAGAAGTTGCATAGAGAAGCAGTACCACAGTAGACAGGCAGACTACTTTTTTGCCACTATTTAAAATACACACAAGACAGGTCAGTAAAAAGCAGAATAGCATTTTATATGTGCATATATGTTATATTCTCTTCTTCAAACTATACAAATGAAGTCCATAACAGCAGTAACTAGACTGCAAACTGCGTAAGTTAGGTCTGATATGGAAAACAAAAAAAGCTGTCAAATTCTAGCTGCGATATACTTCACTGAATTTTTGAAGAAACATATCCTACATTATCACTACATTGTCCTACATCATAGGCATCTCATACCTACAGAGATTCAGATCAAAAAAATGTCCAAATGCTATCTTTGCAAGAGAGGTTTTAGGATAGTTACAGGGCTCTGCAGACCCAGGGGAGAGAGCTACCCAGGAACACCTGAGTTTGCTTAATCAATCCTTTCTTTATAAAGTAATTAGACTGTTACCCTGTTGCTCAAACAGAATATATAGTGAAGTACCTGTTTTTTTTTAAGAGCTTCTTGCACATCATGAGGTTTAGACCCTGCACCAGGCTTCATAGATGTTTTTAAGTTTGAAGAACTGTAAACCATTTTTGAGTGGCTTGTAGAAGTCGGAAATGACTGAAATGGAACAAACAAAATGTAATAGCTTAACATGAATGTAATATACCACCAACAACTTTTAGAGTAACATGTTTAGTTAAACATGAGCACATACTTCCAAATTTGTTTGATGAAGAAAAAAACCCGATGAAGTAGAACACATACAAAGCATTAGTCTGGCAGTCAAATGGGATCCTGGATCCTGATACCCACTAATAGTACTGCTGAAGCTGGTATTTGCATCTGGATTTTATTCAGCTCGATAGTAACAGTCTGATATCATACTGCCCGATCAAACATTTTGAAAAGAAACAAGGTGGTAACAGTTACAGTTCTTACACCTACATGCTTACTTTCTCATGAAGGAGTACTTTTCATTGTTAGAATGCATGCTGCACCATGCTATCAGCACAAATCAAACTACAGCAGTTTGAACTCTATGCAGAAGTATTTCATAAGCTGCCAGTACTATTTTTAAAGCACTGAATAAAGTTCCAAAAATCACTACTGGGTGAAACAAAAGGATTCAGAGAGCTGGCATCACATGTAAACTATCAAATTTGTTAAAAATGGAGGACTGCCCCCTCTTCAAGTCATGCTGCTTAAAACGGTAATAATTTGTTTCTGAAGCAGTCATCGCTATTTTGTTTTAGTAGCTGATGAGATAAGGTAGTGATCAACCACAGTCACACAACACTAATGAAAAGAACAAAACCAACCTGAGAAAGAATTTGCAAGTGCTATTGACTAGTTTCCTCCTTTAGCAAACAGGTCAAAGCTTTAAGCAAATATATGAAGATGGTTGTTTTTTACATACATACCTGGGTATCCTCTACTACAGCCCCAGCCTGGCTTAAGTCAGGCTGATTTCCACCTGTTGCTCCAAGGCGGCGTTTCACTGGGACTTTATTAAGGACATAGGCACCTGATGCCATCGGTTTATTCATGACCTAGTTATCAATTGATATTAAAAGGAAAAGATTGTATACACTGCATTTTAAAAAGAGCAGTCACTCAAATACTGATAATGTTCCAGGTGCTATCACTAATTTAAAGAATAAAGCCATCCCATTGGGAATGAGTGCACGATACCTTGGACATGTTGCTATGTACTGTTACAGGTGGAGCTGGGGTCAGGGCTTGCTGCTGAAGGTGGAGCTGGTGATGAAGAGACTGTGAGGGTGACGGCTGCTGCTGCTGCTGCAAGGGGGGCTGCTGTTCGCTTTCTCTGTGCCACAGCACCCTTATAAACCGATTATTCAAAACTGCCTTTGTGCTGGAAATGGCCTTCCTAGCCTCATCGTTAGTTAAGTACTGAATTAAAGCAGCTTCTGGATCATTCTGGAAAGCAACCTAGAACACAAGTTTATTGAAATACATTATTTCAAGAAAGACCTGTAGCAAACCAACCTACAAATAATCTGCCATGAGAAGGAATTAGATATTCAATGCTATTAACAGCTTAACAAAAGGTGACACATTCTATGTTACTAAAGTCAAATACATTTGGCAAGTGTTACATTAATTTCAGCAAAGTCTATATGCAGTAAGAGGCTAAGGATGTTCCATGCAAAGAAGCATTGTCTAATTATCGTGACTACTTTTCTCTAAAATTAATGACCAGAGAAATAAAAACATATGTTGGACTTGAAAACAGCACAATTTGTGCTAAGACATAAAGTTGCCAGCTCAGAGAAAAGGGAGGTTTCACAGATGCCCACCATATTCAGACCCTCACCAATAGGTCACTAACTCCTCTAACAAATAAAGGGAAATCAAATACTACTTCAACTATGTAACTATTCATGCTCTGCTTGCATAGTGCTTTTCTACTTTCTATAACACAAGGTGTATCACCAGACTCAAACCACTTTATGATGCAAAATGGTAGTAAACAAGGATGATCAGGGGCCTGGAACATCTGCCCTACGAGGAGAGGCTGAGGGAGCTGGGCCTGTTCATCCTGGAGAAGAGAAGGCTGAGAGGGGATCTAATCAGTGTCTATAAGTACCTCAAGGGAGGGAGTGCAGAGGATGTTGCTGGTCTCTTTTCAGTGGTGGCCACTGACAGAACTAGAGGAAATGGCCACAAACTGAAGCACCAAAAGTTCCACAGGAACTTAAGGAAAAATTTCTTAACAGTGAGGGTGACAGAGCACTGGAACAGGCTGCCCAGAGAGGTTGTGGAGTCTCCTTCTCTGGAGATCTTCCAAACCCGCTTGGACGCAGTCCTGTGCCACGTGCTCTAGGTGACCCTCCGTGTGCAGGGGGTTGGACTAGATGATCTCTAGAGGTCCCTTCCAACCCTAAGCATTCTATGATTCTATGATTCTTTTTACCTGAATGTTGACGATAGTTCCAAATTTACTGAAATGTTCATTGAGCTGTGTAATGTTGTTCAATTCTGGTGGAATTTTTCGAACTTCTAACTTTGTGTTAGTATATTGATTCTTCTTCAAAAATCCTGGCTTATTCTGGCTGTTATTGGCTTGCCTAGAAAAAAAATGACAGCAAGATAATTCAGAGAGACTTATGTACATCCAAGTCAGCAGTTATCACACACACTTATTTTCTTGTAAAAAGAATAAACTCTAGAGAGTAACACGAAAAGAGATTTCACCCACCAGTTTATGCGCCAATTTTTTGGACGGAGAGATCAGCTGACACATTCAGGTCAGACAACATGGATTAGTGACTAGTTATATTCACAAAATAAGCGACAATAAAATACATACATTCCTATTAGTCAAATGCAGTTTTTAATTCTTACTTTCCCATCCATGGCTTCTTTAATGATGGACATTCCATACTACTTGGAGATCTTTTCCTGCTGTCTGGTTCAAGCACGACTCTAGTTACATTGCTGCTATTATTTGTAATGGGAATGGGAGGTTCAGTCTGGATGATAATATTGGCAGCTACAGAAAAGAAGAGAGGTCCACATTATTTACCACACCTCATTGGAGAGGACCAAAAATCTTCCATTTAAACAGCAAAACAGAATCAAGTTAAAAACAGCAAAATAGGAAGGTATTATGAAGTTGATCAGCTTTGTTTATGAAATTGCTTTAGAGATCAAGAGATCACCTGCAATCTAAGCAAGCCATTTGCAGACAACAAACATGAGTCCACTCATTAGGGAACAGATTTTGACCTTTAACATTAATATCAGCTTAAAAGAACTAAGCTAAAACTCCATCTTTCAGGTATAGAAAGTTCAGATTTTGCAGACAAAAAAAGCACCATGAACAACCCACATCCATGAGAGTAGGACCCCAGACTTTAGGTTAGAGTTCTACAATATGGCATGAGCTGAATAAACAACTCTGTGTATTACCCTTTGTATTTGAAAAACAACTAATGAAAACCAGAGAGTGCAAGACTCTCTTCCACCCACTATCCCCTTTCCATTCCTCCATCCAGTTTTCAACAACTGCAAGCTGTTAATTAAGCACAGCTATGGCATGACATTATATTCTCAGAAATATTAGTTTTGTCACTTAAAGCTTGAATGATCTTCTACAGTTATAAAGCTGAAGCACCAAATAACAAAGTTCCAAGTATTTATCTACAACCTCCTTAAAATGACACTATTGCTATTAGTCTCCTGTATTCACTAAATATCCAACTCTTAAAAAGAAGTCTGAGTTGTAAATCAATTTTTGTGGCTTTTATATATGCCAGAGCTCTGCTGATTACACAATGAGGACAAAGACTATGTATTAACAGGGAAATAGCTTCAGTTTTATTTGGCTGGATGAATTTAGAACAATCCTTTCACACCAAGACGAAGACAACAAAACAAGTTGTCTAAAGTGCCTTCACCACTCAGTCTTTTATACTTGGAATGGATTCTCAGAGAGAATCTGAGGGCCAGTGATAAAGCCCCAATCCTGCCTTTACGATGTCACAACTCGTCAAGATGAAAACAGCAATACTTTTCTGCAATAATAGGTAACTGTTCTGTATAGGATGAGCCACTGGAAGAAAACATTGCGAAAAAAAAATCTTATCTGCTAAGTAAGAAATACTGGAGTGTAACAGAAAACACTGAATTTTAATAATTTTTCCTTTAAGGATAGTGGGGGAAGGCAGGAGGAAGAAAGAAAGCTATGCTAACAGAATGAAAAAAAAAAGTAAAAAGCTTAAACTTGTTCTGACTCCCTAAGGACATCTTATACATGTAACCATTAAGAGTGAGAGTGTACACACACTCCCATCCAGTCAATGATCCAGAATTACTTAGAGCTAAGATTTCCATGGAGTAGGAAAATTAGAATTCTATCTGCAAAAGTCATTTTAAGATAACAAAAGGCCGACAAAGTCAGACCATCAGGTACAAACACCTGCCATGACAGCGTCCCTCATCACTGCCATCACAACAGCTGAGGCAAGTGCTGTGGATAATGACCTGTACGCGCCAACTCCTAAATATATCTGCAGCAAAATAAAGCTGTCTTCGGACCATACTGTTTAAGGCCCTCTTTTTGCATCACTTTGCTTTTCTGAAGTACCCAGCACCCAGAAAGTGCCTTGGTAGGTTAAAGAGAAAAAGACAAATCAAAACAAAAAACAAAATCAACCACCCCCTGTAGTATTGATTAAAAACAACCGCTTGCCTGAGAATAAGGCTGCTTTGAGCTTAATATAGTCATATTACCCTTTTTTTTTTCTCCCATGTAGAGATGTCTGAAAATTGCTTTGAAATATTAGATCAATGAGCAAAATTTGCTTTCAGCCTGAAAAAGGGAAAAATAAGTGTTGACGGTCTTGGACAAAAATAGTAACAGCAGTGACTAGAAACCCTTCCTACCTCTTGGATTTGTATCCATCTCCCCAGATGTTAGGCCAATTAGATTTGGACGCTGCGTTTGTGCTCTTGTAAAGAACTGTCGATACTGAGATCTACCAGCACTGGTAATACTAGGAGCTTCAGGGTTATAGCCATCTGGCTCATATGTATCTATAAAAAAAGGAGAGAAATGAAAGGATTTTTTCAAATGATTTTAAGACTCTAGATTAATTTTCCTTTAAGGAAATACATGGATGTCCAAGAACCAGAAGTTGTTCTGGATGAAGGGAAGAGAAAAGAGGTGGTACATGTGATGTCTGCGGCCATGTAAATTCCTCAACTAAACTTCATGCCCAAGTCCATTTGGACATAATGTCTTTTAAATTACTTTTGCCAAAAAGAAAAAGTGCACAGGTTACAAAAATGGAGTGTTGCTGACGAACCACTGGAAAAATGAATGAGGTTTCTGTATGACAACACTACTGGTAACAGTGTTTCATGGGGTGCAACCAAAAAAAAAAAAATAGAACATCTATTCTTTAGAGGCTAAGGTGCAAATAAATCTTTATTCTTTGTTGCCCAACAGTCTGGAGTCTTTCAGAAAATGACTTTTTGGGAAGCAAGTGCTTAAATAATTCCAAAAGAAACTGAGAAATCAGAAAATTTGACCAATACTTACCTATTAAATTCTCTCAATTCATCTGTTAAGAGGGACTACCTGCCTAAATCTAATAAGGTTCTAATGATTATTTTAATCAAAAGAGGTAATGATGTGAAAACACAAGGTGACAGAATTGACTCATATTGTTCCTCCAGCCTAAGGGCCAAATCAAGGATGACTCCTTTTTCCAAGCATAAGAAGGAAAAGCGATACAAGAAGCAAAATGAATAAAACCTATGATGAGCCTTCACAGAAGCACAATACATACATCCTGAACATCAGCGGACATCTGTACAGGGCGACTGCAGACTTGAAGCATTCTAAATGTCAGCTTTGTTATTCCAAAGCAGCAAAGTCAACTCTCTATAATTAAAAATAGATCCCTCAGAACTGCTATACCTGTGTTTTCCCTTGGAGTTCAGTTTCCGCCAAGAATTTCTACTACCCACGCATGAGGTTCCTCCTCCAAGATTTTGTGTATGATTGCAAGAGGACAATCAGCAATTGTTACTGAAACTATGTAAGAATGACACGAAAACTCCATAGTGGTTTTGGAGAACAGAATTACGTAGTGCCACTGAGACCAAAGACGTGCTATGATTTGAGGTACACAGAATTGCCGTTAAAAGAAGCCCTGAAGCTGAAAGACTCAGATCGCAAGGCCTGATAGCGTTTGGTAACAAGCAAACCACACTTCTAACAAGGCTTTGAGCAATGGAAGTTCTGAAAAGCATGCAAGTCACAAAGAAAGTGACGTGCATTGTAAGCTAAAGACTGCCTTTCAATAAAATCTGAAGTGCTTATGTAAAACCAAACAAAAAAGACACACATCAAAATACCAGACAGGAGTAATAAAACAAACAAAAAAACCCTTAAGATTAATTCACCTTATTCTGTTTAGGTAAAACATGGAAATGCCATTACTACTTTCATTATCAAAATATAAAATTTTGTTGAATTTAAATTGTTCAATTTAGAGTTCCCCAGGTACTTTGTTACTCTTTTTATGAAATGTTACTTGTACGATATTTTAGCTGTGTAAGGAAGATGGACATGCCTATTGAAATACATTCATATTAATTTAGCTAGAAAGCTAGAATAAGCCAATTCTGGGGCCGGGGCAGGGGAGAGAAAGAAAATAGAAAGCACATTAGTATATGAAGAATGCAAAGACTATTTTGACATAAAGCTAAACAGAAATTTCCCCCTTGCCCTCATTGGAAGCAGTAGCAGAGGAGTAAAGAGAATAAAGTAATAGATTTGCAGATACATCACTTGCCTACTGATGCTCTCCTAAATGACTTCAAGATGAAGGGATCCCTTCCTAACGTACAGCCATATTACTTTGAGCATATTGTTTTAAGTATATAAAAATTAAAATGAATCCCTCCATAAATGATGTTTCCTCAGACAGTGACAGAATGCCACTACGTTTTACACAGCAACAGCAGATGACGCACTGACTATGAGAAAAGCCATCAGACTTCTTTTTAGATTTTTATGTAGTGGAGGAAGATAAAGGAAACAATTTTTAATCATACATCAACAGAAACATTTTTAACTTCAAAATCTCAAGAAGATTTTTTTTAAAAAGATATTTGCTTACGTTCTGATACTGTATACAGTAGGTTCTGGGGTAAAGGAGGAGGTAGCCTTGCTCCTACGGGTGCAAGACTGGGCACTGCACTTGTCCCAGGCTGGTCACGATTACTTATCAAACTTGACTGTGTTAGAGGTGGTCCTACAATGACACCACAGAATAGATCACCAAAACTTACAACTCCACAGATAAACATACAAATAATTCAGTGCAATTTCTAAGACTGGAAGTTTTTATTGTCCCATTAAGATCAAAATAAGTTTCCCCTAGATAAGAATATCTACTCAGGTAAGCTACTTTTTGTATTAAATAAAAGGACAAAGCTTTAAGCTATATAAATATATTTTCTTCCCTAGAGGTTTGTTATTGCTGAAGTAGCAAATCCCTCAGCTCTGCCAAAGGGGCGGAGAGGCTAGTAGGAAATCAAGGCTTGCTCAGAGCAAGAGCTCATATTGGTAACATTTGGATTCTAGTTCTAAAACAAGAGTTACAGGGTAAAAGTCCTTCACAAGGTTGCCCATCTGTTTTTGCTTTGTTTGCACCACATATGATAAATACACTCTTAGTTACTATATGGTCAAAACTGTACAACGACTTACATGACACAACCTAATAAAACATAACTACAACTGCAGTGCACTACTGGTTTGCGTAATAGCAAGGCAACTCACTACCACAAAAATGCTCATGCAAAGTTTCAAGGAAGTTTTTCTGTTAATTAGAAAAGCTTATTTTACCTACAGCAAAAATTATTTACCACCGTAGTCATTTTAAGCTTTTGCTACTAGAATTTGTAGTAAAAATAATTCAAGGTAAGAATGCAGGTACAAAATTAATCGTGTGAGGGCAGATGTATAAACTGGTGACCTTCACAGAATTGATTACAGTCAGTGTAGTTTCACCAGAAATACCTTTGTTTTTGACAGGGAGAAAAAAAATCAAATAATCTCCCTACGCTCTTTGGGGAGCTACTCTCCCCAAAATTTAAAATTTGCAAGTAAGAACATCCACTACTTTCTAAAAATATTTGTTAGACGCTTATATAGAAAATATTCTTTAGTCCATAGCAGGCGCTATTTCATTTAAGTTATAGCATACATGTTACTGGAATACAGAGTACTGAAATAGTGCAACCACATATCCAGTATTCTAAGATTTTTTTTTCCCCTTTCACAACCACTCTCTTTTAAGTTGCAGTGAGATAACAAAATGGCTACAGTTTCAGAGATCACTGCCAAGCTAAAAGAGCTCTTAGATATATGAAGTATTGGCTATGGAAAAGCCACACATAATTACCACGAACAGGGAAGTTTATTATTGCTTTCAGGAGATTATATCTCAATATTCTTACACTAGCAAAAAAAGACTAACAAGCCAATTGATAGGGATCAAGCCAAGTAACAAGACCGTCAGATTATCTGACAGATCTTCCCCATCATTTAACCCCTGTGTTTGCCTAATTTAATTTGGAGCACAGTGAATTTTAAAAGCTGATTTTTCAGAACTATTCGGTAATATGGCAAGTAGCACAGCACTAGCAAAGAAGCTTGAGAAACTCATTACTTTGAATACAGATAGAACTCTTCCAGAAATATCTGTCTCAGATTGGATCATTTGTGACATAAAATAATGCAGAACAGTATTTTAGCTTACTTGGTACAGGAAGCACAACAGGAGGTGGTGCCTGTGGATGAGCCTGGGGAACCGGCATCCTCATATTGCGGGCTGGAGCTGGCATGGGGGGCAGAAGCATACCAGGAGGTGGAGGAAGGCCGAGAGGTGGTGGAGGAAATGGAATCATGCTTGGCAAGGACACTTCGTCCACTACTAGCGGGTCATTTCCATGATCAAACTGGCAGAGATCACCAAGCACACAAAACCCTCGCTCTGCAAAACAAAACATAACCGTTAATTATGTTTTTATACTAAAAACAAAACAAAACCAACATTACATTATCAGGCAGGGTTTCAAAGCAAAATTCAAATTGGAACAACCTTCCATAACAGCATACAAACATACATACATTATAAAAGATGGCGGGTAATGGGGAGAAGAGGAAGGGAAGAAAAACATGCGAAAGGACCACAGGTTTAACATTAAATACATGAACTATAGTTTTTTTCAGATATGCCATTGTTGAAATATTTGCCAAGGCATATATAGAATTGTAACCAATTCTATGTTCTTACCCAGCAATAGTCAGATTACAAGTAATCTGCTTCCAGCAAGATTATTTCTTTCCCAAGAAAGATGTAGGTCATACACGCACTTTTACACATGAGATACTTATATGCTACTGCATTTTGTCTGCCTGCCTATATTTTGTGAATAAATATAAATAAGTAGATACAACATAACTGAAATCACATGTGCAATTGAAGACTAGAAAAAGATTACCATCATAATCTCGACATCTTCTTTTAGGTGGAGGATTTCTGCCAAACGAGGCAGGAGTGCTGTGATTGTTATAAAAATTTGACCAGCTCTCTGTTGTGTTTTCAAGATGATGAGCAGGTGCAATTACAGTAACAGCACTGGGAATAGACTGTGCAGAGGAATACTGTTCAGTAGAGTTACTGGGAGATATGGAAACCGGATTATAGGAGCCTTCATCATTTCTCTCACTCTTGAATTTTGATCTCTCCCTATGCTCTGTTGAAAGAAAGGTGGTTGTGAGTGTAAAACTTCATGGTTTGTTCCACATGTCAGAGCCCTAAAATACTAGAGAACAACACAAACATTAGCTTAAATTCTCTGTTTAGTAAACTGTTCTTGAAAGTTAATCTTAAAAACGGAATGAGAACTAAACCCAAACAAAACAGTGTTTTTACTTCAGAAATTAAAATATTTTCTTTGTAAAATGCTGATAATCCCTCTGATACTTATCCCTTCCTACATTTACAATTTTCTTTTCCAAATAAGAAAGAGGAAGGTAAAATCACACAATTAAAAACCCCAAATTTTCCACCAGTGCTTTTGGAATTAGCCCTAGAAGAAAAGGGCATCACATGGTAACAGCCTTCAATTGCGAAGAAACTTTCTCTAAAAATATAATAGGAAAAAAAAAAGTAGAAAGCAGAAAAAGAGGTGTAACACTATTCCTCAAAAAATTAGGACATCATTGAAAAAAAGAAATAAATCAACAGCTTTGTCAACACAGAGCAAAAGTGTATCAGCTACACACACTCACTGGTATACACCTGTGGCTAAATTAAGACATTAGAAAAGAACACAATCCGCTTAATTATTCTACTCTGAAGAATAGTACCTTAATTAACTATTTCAGCAACACCAAGTTTCCAAAATTTGCTCAAGTGACACCAGGACATCTACAGACTGCCCACCTATGCCACTTGCACAAGTCATCACACATCACGGACACCCGGCATTCGCCCACGGGAGCCTGGCACTCACCAGCACTTCTGCTTGCTTCGTGGTCTTTGCTTCTGCCCCTGCTGCGGCTACGACTTCGACTTAGCCCTCTGCTTTTACTACGACTTTTACTCCTGCCTCGTCGCCATCCAGACTTGTCTCTGTACAAGTCACTCCTGTCATAGTATCTGTCATAGTCCCTCCATTTTCCATCATCTCTCTTTTTTTCTCTGGTTCTAGAAAATATACATATAAACAGTGTTTATAAAAGAGAAACCAAATTCTAAAATAAGTCTGTAGTACGTCAACATACGGCTCATCCTCCACATCCAACTTAGGTAATGATATCACATTTGAGAAGGACTTTCCCAAGTTATGTAGAAAAATACAGAATCTCAAAGTTGAATTGCTCATTCACAAAAAGCAGAGAGGGGAGGACAAAGAAGAAAGGAAAGATGAGAAAGAGTTACAGGAATTCAGAACAGAACAAACTTTGAAAACACATGTTATCAGTGTAATCCTCTTCCTCTTGCTCCCCTCAAACACTTTACTACACAAAACACAAAGAAAGAAAAACAATCGAGGATTCTAATATACGTGATAAACACAGAAATACACAGCAGATAAAGAATGGGAAAGATGGCACATTTTTAATGAAACCACTGCCTAGGAGGTAAGAACACAAAGTCAAGCACTGCCAACAAATAGCAAAGTAGATCCCAATACCTTGATTCAAGAGTACTACTAACCTCTGTTCACTGGAATCTGTACGGCTTCTCTGTGGGCTAGAATACTTCTTTTTCCTGCTTTCTCGCTCTTCCTCAAGTGATTCTTGAAAGTTCTGTTTAAGACACAGCTACCTGTTAAGCACGCCCTGTGTGCTTTCCGCAATACAGCCCAGTACAGTGTTGGTTTTGTTGACTGACAGATTTTGACCTGTGATTATTTATCACCTTAATGACCTTCTGCCAATCTTAAAATTGGAGACAGAACAACCAACTCCAGCTTCATCTTTCTTTCAATTTATTTCTTACTCACAGACAAAACCCACAAATCTGAATACCCAGAGCATTTTTGCTTCTTCCCCATCATTTAAACCCTTCCAAATCACAACCAGCTGCACAGAAAACAATAAAGATAACTGCTCACAATGAAGTGAATTTTGCTCTTACATCTCTCCTCACATTCAATTTGAGAATTGGGAGCAGATAAACAGACAAATGGATGTTACCTCCTCCTTGACTTCTTCTTTCTCCTGAGTTGCAGGCTTCACTTCTGCTTTTGCTGGTTCAAGAGAAGGGAGGTAACTCTTGGTGTACAGACTTTCAAAGAGTTTATCTACAAAACCTGAAGTTTCTGGGGATGCAGAACATAAGAGACCATCACTACATTTTGATTTAAGACCATCACTAGGAATGGATTGACCAGAGAAGCCCCTGAAGAAAGCCACCTGGAAGGACTGGTTACAGCAGCAGCATTTTAAATAATGAGCATTAGTTCTATATAAGGAACTGGAATTATATTTGCGGAATTTGAAGATGTTTGTATAAATAAAAAATAATTGGGAGTATCAGAGACAGAAACAGAAGCTTTTACTTCAATTGCACTTACAAATTGGAACTTTTCTAAGAGGCAAGTGTGAACTTAAGGTCACTGAACAACTTTAGATTTACTCCAACTGCTAAAACTAGCAATTGCAACAAGGCAGTACATCATTCATATAATACTATTCATCAATTTCAAAGTAGATCCCAAATGAATACACAATAATTTGCCAACTCAGAGTCAGAATTTCAAGAGCTTGAAATACAATTTGACCCGAATTGCAATGAGAAGCTCACCAGATGCCTAGAAGGCCAACTCAGGTCAGGTTTTCAAAAGCTATCAAGCTCATGTCAGAGACATTTCTGGCAGCATGACCAACATTTAAAAATGAAGTGTTGTGTTAGGACTTTTATGAAAAGGCTTATCTATAACTGGAGATGGGGGGAGAAGGAAAGAAATAAAGAAAAAGTTATACAACTTCATCAGTTCATTTTGCGATTAAAAAGGTCTTAAAGATCCTTATTTCTTTATGCTTTGTAAGAAAAACTAAGTTTAAGAAAAAAGGACGTATCCCAAAGGAAACGGTAGAGTATCACCCTTCCCTCCATCCTACGAAATATGCTGCAAGGATAAAGTCATTAAGAGCACGGTACCTTTTTGCAGAAAGACGTCCAGCTGATCCGCACAGAAGGCTTTGAGCTCTTTCTCTGGTTTGTCTTTCTTGACTAGTGCCACAACATAGTTGGCTAAGGCTGAGGGGTCTGCATCACATCTGGTGAGAGAAAGAATTCTTCGTCACCATCACATAGTCCGGCTTTGCTGAAGAAGGCTGAAAATCCTGGTGTGTTGAAGCACCACCGTTACAGGAAAGTTGCTAAGGAAAACCTGGCGATCCACGTTTGATGCTTTTCCGACATCCAGTACTATACACAGCTGCACTAGGGGGTTGGAGGGACAGAGCCAGGAACTGCCCCCAAAATTACAGCAAGACATTCTAACTGCCATGGGACAATCGCTCTCCTCTGCATAAACACACACACCTATCCCACCATGTTCTCATTTTTTTGCTCCTTCCTAAGGCTTATTTATAAAGAAGTACCTTTCTTTAAATGAAGATCCTATTCTGGGGCACTCGAACAAGCACCGCTGCCCTTTCACCTCTTCTTAGCACAGCAACCACGACGCTATACGGATAGCAGAGCAACTACCAAAAATTCACTACATAATTACTCGAAAGCAAAAACATCACTACATATGCTCATTAAAACAGCAATACCATAAAAAGCAGTTGAGGAAGATGTATCTCAAAACCATATTTTAAATATGCACAGAGATATGTTCTGTACAGCTTAACTTACTATGCATTACTAATACTACACATTAGTAAGTATTAGATTTTTTTTCCCTCAGAATTTCCTAGCCCAGAGATCACACAATAATCCCTTAATTCTGCTAAAATGCCTACAGGGATGCAACTACCAATATAGACTGATTTTACTCACTACCCAAGTCCTTATCTAGCTTCAGGAAGGCCAAAGATAGCCAAGTCAGTTCAAACAGTTCTCCATTAAACTTTAAATTGGATACTGCTTTAGATTCTATTATTCAGTCACTGGAAGAAAAAGAAAGAAAACCCACACAAATTATGAACTAGATTAACAGCATTAAAGCATTATTAAACAACAGCTCTTTGTATTGTTACTCACTGAAAAGATGGAAACATCAGCTATCAGATGGTAGGTATGATCCAAAATGGATCCAAAAGTATGACCGTAATCAATCTGATTAAAAGAATTGTGAATACTAACATTTAAAGGGGAAATAGTGTATTTAAAGAATGTTAGCTATGGAACTATAAAGAAATAGCATAAAAGTGGATAGACCTCAAAGTAACCTACAGTTAAAAAATGAGACACAACTGGCTAAGTAAAATAACCTTCCAATCAAGCAGCTCTAAATTATTTTGCTTACTTGTTCCCAATAGCTGATGAAAACCATGTTAAATATAGCAATTAACTACAAAGAAACCACAAATTTACAGATTTTATAGTGCACAGAAAAATGAAATAAACTGTACTTATTACATCCTATGCTAGTAGCCACATGCAACTGAAAACCTCAATTTAAAATAAAGGACATGAACCATCACTTACTAACATACTATTAGTTGAAGCTGTCCCATTCATTCCTGCGCATATTAATTTATTCTGGGCATTTACATCACATTATAGGAACATGCACTTCTCCAAGTTGGCCATTTCCCATTTTCCCTCCTTAATGCCAAATGTCCAGCACCCACCAAGAAATTCTGCAACTCTGATGTGAACCCTTGTCTGCAACTCAACTCTGCCATTCAGCTCAGACACCAAAAAGATGCTAGAGAGCAAGAGAGAAGGCAAAGTGGGAGAAGCAGCGAGAGCGTCAGAGTGAAAGCCACGCTCTTGGCTAGAGGAACCTTCGGAGATTTGACTGAAGATTGGAGAGAACCGTTCTTTCAAAACAAACAAACCAAAACAGCAATGCCATGAAATCTTTGGCTAAAACAAAAATGAAACCACAGCATCCTTCTCCCTTTCTTACCCTAAATTCACCCTCCCAACTCAGGGAGCTTTTTTCTTTCTCTTTTTTGGCTAGCTCAAGACATGGCCTTCGTCTAATTCAGACTTTTGTCTTAGAGATTTCTTGGGGGAAAAAAAAAAAAAGGCTGTGTGCCTAAAAAAAATGCATAAGATACTCAAACACTTCATGTTTCTTACTCCATGCATTGGCAATAAGAAACCAGGCCAAGTTTCATACTATGTTGCTTTGACATATTGTAGCTAGGTGGAAACAACTATATATTATGTTCGATACGACACCTTTTAAATCCCGAAACATTTTCGGAAAGTCGCAACTTAACGGTCAGTAACTGAGCAGCTCTACTCTAGTGTATTTGAAACACCAGATGAACATTTGCAGAAATATCAACGAACTAGGCACTGCAAATATCTGTCCCACGAGCGCGTGCGTCGCCCTCGCAAACCCGGCTCGTTCCGGGGAGCCCCCATCCTCTGGGAGGCTCCAAGGAGCTCCCTCCTTCGGGAGGCTCTGAGCAGCTCTCTTCTCTAGGAGCCCCATTCCAAGGAGCCCCCTTCCCCTGGGAGGCCCTTGCTCCAGGCGAGGCCCCGGCACCAGCG